GAAAGACTTATTCCATACCTGATGTAGCATAACCTGTGAGCTTCCTACAGGTGATGACTGGTATCCTACAGGGCAATGCAACCTGCCTAGGAGATGATAGTTTTAAGTCTAATGGTCGTGCTAAAACAGGAAATCATGTGCACAATAGGCATTTCACATATAGACATTTTGAAGCAGGTTGTTTTCTTTGTCTCCATTCCTTGGAGTCAATTCAGTGACACACTTTCTTATTTTAGGCTCTGGACTTACCCCTCCTTAGAAAGTAATGCTTATTACTCACTCACTTAAAAAAATATGTCAGCACTGCTGTGTTTGGGAACCATCTTGCTCATTCTCCTGTATTTCTATCCCAGAGTCTATCCCAAAGTCAATGGCACCACTGACTCCGTTGCTGCAAAATCAGGACAGAATCTTCAGCTTTCTTCTTTCTTGTTTCCAAGAAAATGCTTCTGTGTTAATGACTGTTCACATGTAAGAAGACACACAGTTGTGTGCTGTCTTGTTTGGATGTGGCCTCGGGTACTTGCAGGATAATGCTATTTCAACTAGCAAGGCATCATCTGTTTTAATTGTGCTGCCCTGTATGCAGTCAGCCTTCGGTGCTGAAAACAAGGGCATCGATCAGTAGCTGAATCACCACCTCTTTGTACAGGCAGAGCGCCTTACTTAGCATGTTTGAATTGTTCCCAAATGCACTGTGCCTCCTGAACTGTGGAAAAATGATCTCTCTGGGACTGGAGGGTGGCTCACATTTGGTGACTCACAGCTGAACGTAGGGCCTGGCTCAGCTGCAAAGCTTTGCATTCCTGAGCACCCAGAGGTTCTGCCTGAAGGGATTGTTTTAGGATGGCCCATTCGCACACACAAGCCATCATGATACTGTGGTCTTCAACCAGTGCACCTGGCGGGATGAACTGTCTTTAGCTCTGCTTTGGAGTAGAGTGTTTAGTGGGGTCTCCCGTGGCTCAAAGGTTTTACCAGTTTGGTTCCTATCAAACCAAACCAGAGCTTTTCCCAGAAGCAAAACTGACAAAACTGAGGCTGCCATACTTTGGAAACATCATGAGAAGGCAAGACTCCCTGGAGAAAACCATCATGTGAGGGAAAGTTGAAGGCAGAAGAAGAGAGAGAAGACCAAATCAGAGATGGATCGACTCCACAGAGGAAGTCACAGCCTTGAATTTAGAACAACTAATCAGGGATATCATGGATTGGACGTTTTGGAAGGGCTTTCATTCATAGGGCCACCCTAAGTTGGAGACAACTTGATGGCACATAACAATAGCAGCCTGGTATGCTCAGATAGTGTGGATGAGAGCTCCTCAAATGCCCAATCATTGGCCATTGCTGGCTGGGGATGTTGGGAACTGGAGCCAGAAACACAGATGCTAAGCTTGGGCAGGGATGCCTTTGCCTCACTGCCTGGATTTGAACATGTGGCAATCTAAGGAAGCACAGCACAAGTGTGGAACACTGTCCCCCACATACAACAGTGGGGTCAAATCCGGCAAGTGTTCAGTTAAAACATTTCCAATGGGCTTTTAAAAGGACATTTTCCTCTCTTTCTTTTGCTGCATCATTTATCCATTTATTTACTGTAAACTATTCATCCATTAAAGTTCTTCATAGTTAGGTTGCGCTGTGTTATATTTTACTGTGTTTATTGTTTGTATCCCACTTTGGGATTATTAAGTAATGAGCAGCTGGTAAGAGATGGTTTAAATAAAGAGTGGTATATAGTCTGCTATTTGGAGAATATGCTGCAATCTTCGGGGGGGGGGGGGAAGGGGGAGGCTTTCTTTAGTGATTTTGCCCTCAAAATAATGTCTAAGTAGACAAGAACTTCACCAAGCATAGAAAAACTCACAGTAAACCATTGAGTGGTGGAGGTGGAACCATCACTGAATAAATTGCTAGCAAGACTTTGGTGTTAATGCCCTTAGGCCTTAACCTAAACAGAGGACATGTTCAGGCATCTTACTGGATTTCTATGAAAGTGTGCCGGGGCTATGGCTGGTTTATGCTTCTTGCATAAACCATCAGGACTCTTCTTTGCACAGCAAAGTTATTTGGTCGATCAAGCTCTGAGTTCAATGCTAGTCTCAATGTATGTTCAAAAGGGTTCATGTTATTTTGGAGAAGTTTTCATTTGGAAGGACCTCTGGACCAGCATACTGTGTATTGCTGAAGGATTCCCTCTAGGATCAGAAGGAATCTCTTTTTACAAAGAAAACTTTATCATGAACATATCAAATAAATACATCACGCAGACTTTCACAATTAAATGTGCCTTTTAAACAATTCCTCAGTTCAGTAGAATAAGGGCTTGCCAAAATCCCACAGAGAAAAGGTAAGCTGCTGATTTAGCCTGGTCCTGATATCACTACCTGGGAGGGATTCATATCCTAAATGTTAAATCACTCATTCCTGGAGCTGGGAAGAGCCTAAGGTCAGACCCAAGTGTGAAAGAATAAATGAAAACTTAACATAGACCTGGGAGAAGCGTTCCTGGCCAGTGTTGTACTAGATAGAAATTGCTCTTAAGTTTAGGGTTGTGTGTGCTCTTCTGAATGCTCAGGTGTGTCTCTGGTGGGCAAGAGAAAATCACGAGGAGGATGCGACGTGTTCCAGTTGGGGCTGCCTTTGAAGAACGTCCCATGAAGATGCCTCAGAAACTAGAATTGCTTCAGCATGCAAGTGCCAGACTAGCTTCTGGCCCCAGTGCAGAGTGCACAGTTCATCATCAAATCAGAATTGCTACTTTTTGCTTAATCAATGCTTCGTCTTTTCATTGAGCTTTATTGGTGCTTAATAAGGTCTGGTTGGATCCAAACTCATCTTTCTGCCAGCAGAACAAATGCTGCTGGCAGAAGAGGGCTTTCCCAGCCTCTTTTCAGCTCCTTCTGCTTTAGAGGGTTTGGAGCATGTGCAGGGAACAAGAGGACAGGAAAGTCCCATTTCTGCATCATCATCATCATCATCCATTCTAGTGCTGGAATGGTCATCCTGGTAGAGTAGATCTGCGTAGATTTATGAATCAAACGGCAGGGTTCAAATCATTGCTTTGCTTTCAGTGGCCAGAATTAAATAGACTTTGCTGCTGAAAGCCCTGCAGTGGCTTATGTGTTTTTAAATGTTTTCTCACATTTATATTCCACCCTTTTCCCCCTTGCAAGGAAAAAATGATGGACCTGCTGCTCTTATCCAATTGATCCTTACAACAACCTTGTGAAGTTCGTGGCTGAGAGGAACTAGAACCCAGCCCTTCAAAGCTCCCCCCCCACACTAAAACTGCATCATGCTGGTTCTACTTAAGCACAGTAGAAACATGTCTGAGTAATTCCACTCAGCTAAAATGGAAAACTAAATGCTCACAGATAGGCAGAAGCTACACTGCACTTTATATTTTCCTATTATTGCACACCCAATCTATTTTTCTGACTTATGCATAGGAGAGTACAGCTGAATGTGTTATCAAAATACAATACAGGGCACTTCACATATTTACTTTTACATAGCTACAAGCAAGTAAGGAATATGTGACATGCAGTTCTGTATTATAAACAGTAGCTTTTAGGGCAACCAAAGAATAGCACCATTCTCCAGTGCTGGAAAGGACACCTTTCCTGTAGTATACAAAGAGTTACCCACAAAATCTGGCAGCTATTTTCCCCCATTAGTGGCATTTGTTTATAGAGATTGTCTTGTGGTGATTTTGTTGATGTTTCTTTAAAATCACAAATTGTATCATGTAGGAGGCTTGGGAAAAAGGTAAGGCTTTCTGGCTCTACAAGACTGGCATTACAAAAACTTCTCCCTTTGCTCTTTTAAAATGATTTGGTGGTTTGGAACAATTTGGAAATATGTTTTGATCCTTTTTCAAGTGAAATTCCTATCAATTATTTTTAAAGAGCATGTCTTGGTTTTGTGCAAATGACCAAGGTGGCTTACAACACATTATAAACAATTCAGTACAAAGTGCCCCCAGCAACAGGGGCTGCTGCCGCCCTCTCCAAAGAGCATTTTACAGTGAACTTTAGGACAAATAACACATTTTATTCTTGGGTTTTTAATCTTGGGTTGATTAAAAAACAAGAAAAATGTAGTGCTTTTTCTACAAAAGCCAAAGGGACCAAATAATAAAAAGGACATTTATCTCCTGTCTTCTGAGTTTGAAGTAGGGCAATGAGAACATGAGCTCAGACTTTAAAGATACATTCAGGGTATCCTATTTTAAAAATAAGATTCCAGCCTTCAGAATTGGATCCAGAGCTTTATTTGTGCTGGAAGAAGTGCCTCCAAGCGGAGCTTCACTCACAACACCTGAGGCTAATGGGAAAAGGATAGTTTTTCCCCACTCCCTCTGCAGTCTCGGTTCCCCATATGTTCTGCATGCCCCCCCACTCCACCCAGTGTTTCAAAGAACATGTTCAGGGAACATAAGGAACTGCAGGGAGAACTAAAAAAGATCATTTCCAGCCTTGTTTACCCTGCAGAAAAATTTTTGTTGGAGCCAAAGGCTGCTGTGGATAGAAGAATTAGAATCATGTTTCAGGGGAATACTTAGGGTGAAAACCTGAACCTGGTTTTCTCTTTTCTTAAAGAAACAGTGTTCAGTAGTTGTCTGTTAAGAACCTGCTTCATCAGGTGAAGCTCAAGTGCTTCAGGCATGGAGAGAGCTGCCGCCTTCCGAGTCAGCCTCAAAACAAGCATCACCGCTCCGCAGTGCAAGAAAATTAAGCCAGCATCTGGCGCGTCAGTGGGAGACCGTGAGCGTGCTTCCTGGTCACACTGGCCATGTGCTACCACCACGGTTGGACCTTCTTCAGTGACAAAAGCGAGGCTTTCTTTAAAGACACGTAGCAGCATGGGGAGCACCTTTCGTTCCTGTTTGGGGGGACACCATTTCAGCTGAGCACTTCACTCCCTTCGACTGCTTTCCAGAGAGCGGCTATGCTGCGTGCGGCCCCGAGGCATCGGGCAATCAAAGCACGACAGAGGCCGACAAGAAAATTTGTCTTTATTTCAATTAACATTTCTTGGCATTAGGCAGATATTAAATAACACTGAAATGCACAAGACTATTAACAGAAATGGACAGCAACAACAAGGTCAGAGGGTCACCTCACCTCACCTCACTCAAAAGCCATTTTTAAATGCTGCAGCCACATTCAGTGGCACTTCACCATGAAACACGGAAACAGAATTACTCCTTTTCAGATTTCATTTAACACAGTAAACACTTGAACAATCAACAGTAAAAATGAATAAAGTGTTGCAATTGGTAATTAAAAGTGTTATATCCACAAACAGCTAAGTCATGCAATGCCTTTACGACAACTTTGCTATGCATAAATATCACAATCCTTTTTAAAAAAAGTTTTGAATAATCACAGACAACTAGAAGAAATGAAGGATGAATTCTACTTGATATATTAAATATGACCTAAATATTAAAATTTTACTTCACCATATATATATAGTTTATATATATTTATATTTAAAAGAATGGAAGGACCATTACATAAGTGCAAGCAATTTTCCTCATAGAAAGGGAACTAGTTTCATGCTCTTAAAAAATTCTTCAATTTATCCCACATTTCACAGCCATTTCCTGGGAAGCAAATGGCCTTGCCTGTCTTTTGCTGTTGCTGTGTCAGGCAAAAGGTGCATACAGCATCTCTTCCTCAGGGGCTATTAGAAAGTCATTCATTCATATTAATCAAGGGTGTGCAAGAACCCCTCTTTAACTTGCATGTAAACATACCCTTAAGTTATGTTAGATGTGCAGAGTGAGTCATAATATTATGCAAAGAGAGGAAAATGGAACTATGGAAGGAGAAGTTGCATCAATATTGGTGAGCAGAGTGAGACTCTCTTTCACTTGGACACACAGACAATCTGGCAGAGGAATCTCATCCACTAACCACTGAGGAATGGTTGAGAAGGCATCCATTTATGAGCAAAGCTTGAACAAGCCAGTAATTTTCTTTGCAAACTGTCCAGAGTTCAATTAGAACTGACTTGCACTGCTTGGATCGCATTGTAACAACCGCACAATAGAGGGATCACTCTTGGCACCTTTAATAAACTCTTCAAGTGATAGTTTACCTTGAAGGGAAGCAGAAAAAAGATACAGGATTAAAACTTTCTCTTTGCAAAATGGCATCCAAATAAAACTTTTAAAGGTCACATAAAATCATGATTAAAGATACATACTCAGTTGCCAGTGTGTTTTAAGGTGAGATGTATAATATTCAACAGGTAAGCCAGCTAATTATTAAGATGCTTAACAATTCCCAGCTCAGGGCAGATTTGAATAAATTTTTTGGAAAGTGCTGTTATCTATACTGTAAATTAAATACTATGGTACCAACAATACATCCAACCTTGCCCAATGATGCTTATTCAACAGAACCTAGCTGGCTGTTCTTAGGAGGGGCTGTCTACGGAAACCTTGATATAATCTAGCCTTCAGAAGAACAATCGGAAAATGAACCAGACAGGATTCTCACATCCTGTTACAAATCCAAAACATTCAAGATATATGCAAGAACATTTCATGGAACTGACATGGAAAACATGCCTAACCTCCCTAGAGATTCATTGCTTCCTTTAACTGACATTTTGCTGAGGTGTGAACTTTTAACAAATCCAAATGGCCAACTCCCAGGCAGGGATGTTTTGGAAGCAAACGCAGATACCTTCCTACACTTTGACTACAGCAGACAAACCAAATTCTTGAAATTTAAATCCACCTACTATGGCAGGGTTGCTTTGTGGACTTGGCTGTTTGAATGAGCACATAAGCATTTGTAAAAACTAGTTTGACAAATGAATGGCTCGAGTCAATTTCAAATCAGAAGACACACATTATGAAAAACATGATGTTGTCATTCCTCTCCCCAGATAACGTTTCACAAAACTTTGCACCCTGGTCACCACCACCACCATGATGTTGTGTGTTATCCTGCCCTGTCAGTGTCCCAGATAATGTGTCACCACCAGCAGGGGTGAAAGAAAACATAAAATGATGATGCTCTATACTTTCCTTAAAGCGTTGTTTAAATAATTCACATAATTTGAGGTATGCTGTAACCTCAAAATGTGGGCATATGCCTCATGCCTAACTTGCTTCCATCAGGAAAGAGGTGAAACAATCCTATAAAAATGATACAGCTGTTTCTAGGATGATGTGTTTAAGTGTAGCTAAACCTCCATGGGCTTACTGTGGAGGCGATCTGTGCCAAATATTCAATGATTCTATGCCAAATCATCGGAGAGCTAGAAAAGTTTTCTAGAAAAGTAGAAAAAGCCAAATATTCTAAAAACACTTTCTGTTATTTTAATCCCTCCTTGATAGCCACTTTGAAAGCTGTTATTAGCAACTGGTAAGGTACAGCCACTGTCCTAACTTAAATGGCTCCTACACACGAACCCTTCTATTTAGGTTTACCCACAACTGATGTAAGTAGGGATAGGTGGGCTGCCCAGTGTTTGACCCAAAGCATTTTTGTCTCCAAGGGGATAAAATCAAATACTTGCAAAGCCTCAAAAAGTCTCTCAAAAAAGCCTTCAGGGATGCTCAAATGGCATACATACCCCATCATTCACTGGCTACTACCTTCTCTTCCTAGGACAAGCCCCTGTCCCCTTGTGGAAGTGGCAGCAGCCAGAAAAAAGTTATCAGTGGCAAGCAGACAGGTGGGCAGATGACACAGAGAACATGGCGTTCTGCCAGAAAAAGCAAAGACAGCCTTCACAGCATTGCTGCTGGATGGGTAGCCCACTGGGTCTCCGGTCTCTAGTCACTGTCCAGATCTTCTCCCAGCTCTAGGTTGAGCTCCTCCCTGCGTGATGAAGGTTTGGCCCTGGAGCAGGCAGAGTGGAGGGCTGGAGCCCGTGTGCGCATGTGAGAAAGCGGCACTGCAAGTGGAGGTGGAGGGCTCACACGGGATGAGTCCCTGCTATGATTCAGCTCACATGCTGGGATGCTTGAATGGTCCAGGGACTTGGCCTCCATTTCTGATCCCTTCCTTATTGCTTTGCAAGGACTATTTACTGCACCAAGGAACTTTCTTCCCTTTTGACAGCTGTCTGATAATCCAGTTATGCATTTCAGGAGAAAAGGTATTACTGCGCAGCACTTCATAAAAACATCCCATTTGCATTTTATGTCATAAGGTGACAGTACTTCAGTGTAGTAAAGTGATTAAATACAATGTGTTCCAAGACAATTCTTAACCCGGTTGCTGTTCTTCCCTCAGAGGATTGCTTACATCACATATTTTGCCAGAGGGAAGGTTGCTCATGTTGGAGACATATATTAATTTGTATCCTATAAAAAGCCCCCAAAGGGGCCTTTATTCCTACTTTGTGAACGCCATTAGTTTCAACCGAGATGTTAACCCTAGGACATTTTGATAGGTGACCCTTGTGGGGAAGATTTGCATTAAATTTAACAGCACCTGCTAGGCTATGTTCTGCTTGATTTACTCCCAGTTTCAATAGCTATTACATATGCATGCCATTGTCTTTGTCATTAGAGAACTAATGTTTGTGAAAAGAAAATCCAAGCTATTCTTAGTTCTGTTTTACTCTCTAATACCTATATTAGCTGCCTGGAAGGATCTGCTTCCAAGGCAATGGTCTCAGCACTACAGGTAAGACTAAGCCCTTTACCTTTCCTCCCACCAGCTTAACTGATCAAAGGCTCAAAAGCTAACTCTGCCCTCAGAAGCATCCTTTGGAAAAGCGGTTTTTTCTCCCCAAGGTGAGGTAAGAAAGAATGGGAGACCACTAATCTGGGGAAAAGGCTGCCCATCATGTCTTAATCTAGTTTTAAGATCTTATAACTAGATTTTACTTCTTCACAAGTTGCTAGGTTAAGAATAAGTGTTTTTAGACATAATCTGGTATTATCCTAGAGAAACATATTCTGGTAACTTTTAAAGTACTGACATGCCAATTCTGTTCAGAACAAAACAATTCTGTTCTGAACATTTCTTAACTGTTTATCTATGCTTCCAAATACTTTTGGTTTATTTCATTCTGTGTGTTGGGGTGCTTGGTATACCCCAGGCTCACCCAATTTAGGACATTGCCCAAATCTGAGTAGAAAATATTGACCCCAGATTTCAGCCTCTTGTCCCTTACAGTCTTCTTTCTATATACTAATACATGCTCCGAGTAACAAAATGTCCAACACTTGTGTAAGAATAATCCAGTAGGGTACTTTTGGACTCCAAACACAAGTACAAAAGGATGTCATCTATAGGTCATGTTAGATTTTTTGAAAGCCAGGAGTATGAACTAAAATCTTCAGCAATCAAAATTAAAATATAACAAAGGGAAGATTTTTTATGCTGATTTGAAGTCTGTAGGCCAAGCATCATTATGCAGACTTTATTGCTATGCATTGATGCAATCACCTGAAAGCCACTCCTATGGCAATTCATACCTCTTGGGGAAAGATTCTGTCAAAGAAATAGCTTTTATATGTGGCTTTTGTCTTGCCTAGGCAATTTTATCTGGGGTGACACAGTCATCCCACATGCAAATAATGTTATGTTCAGAGTAAACCAGGGTTAAGGCCTCGTGCTCTAAGCTAGTGTGTTCTGAATGCCCCACCATGATCCCACATAGCTAGATGAACAGTGCTACTAGTCTGAAGAGAAATGGGTGCTGCTGAAGGTTGGAAGACCAAATAGAAATAGTGTGGAGGGAGGTATCATGCAGTGGCCTTAGGTATTTCATCCCAAGGTGACCCCTACGTTGGAGGAAGAAGTGTTCAAGGGAATCTGGTGGCAGTACAATAACTTTGTGGAAAAGCTCATAGCAGGAATTTTGATTCATAACCTAAAAACCTTGTGGAAAAAATGAAAGCTCAAACCCAGTCAATTAAACAGGTTTTTCATCAAATCTGCATATTTTATGGTTATGACTTCCTTGGAACAACCTGCCTGAGACTGAGGGCCAAGCTACGTATTACATGGGGGAATCTTATTCAGCTCTTCAAACCAAGTTTTTGAATTTACCAGGGCTGCACTGCTTGGTAAGACAGACTTATAATTAACTAAAATGGAGCTGCTGATTAACTGAGCAACAGATTGTTTACTTATTACATTTATATCCACATTTCCCCAAAGAGCACATGATCCATCCCCACACCCCATTTTAATCTTCAATGCAACCCTTGGAAAGAGAGATAGAATGCGAATGAGAATGAGAGAGAGAGACAGAGAGAGAGAGAATGAGAAAGAGAGAGAGAGAGAGAGAGACTGGCTTGAGACCACACAGCAAGCTTCATGGCTTTACAGTGTTGCTCTAGCCCATGGCAGAAGAACTTCCAGTCATTCCTACTTTGATCCACAGGACACCCTGCACTACCCACTGCAGGAATCCCCTTGGAGGGCATTGCCTGTGCTACCTCAGATCTGAGACGGGAGAATCTCAGCAGGGATTCCTGTGCTGGCATCTGCCAGCACCCAGCGCCAGCTGTTCTTTCCAATCTAAGGTCTGAGAGAGCAGCAGAGACCTCAGATGGCCTTTGCCTGACTCACCTGTGCCAGGAGAGAGTGATGCTCTTCCCATGCACCGCAGAATCCCAGTGCCTGCTGTCCCTCACTGTTGGTACCTCTAACTGTGGGGCAATGTGGCAGGACCTACCCATACTGGAAGACCAGTCCCTTCCTGCCCCTGCTGCACTGGGAAACGCCAACTCCAATTTCAGATCACAGACAGCCATGGGGATGCAGAGCAGCCTATGTGCTAGGAAGTGGCCAGTTGAAATCTCCTTACACAATAGTTGAAATGCATACAGATACCCTTTGCTATGCAAAGGAAAAACTGGCTCAAAGTCTGTGAATTTTGAAGTATTGTAACCAGACTAAATTGAACAAATTAACATAATTTATGTATGTTCAATGCAAAACATTCTGCAGAGTTTTACTCTGCTTGGCAGGGCTTGTGATACTGGTTGAGGGAAGAATTTTGCTCAGCAGAAACATGTTACACAACAGGAACCAGCTATTTCCCAATAATTGGGAAGAGGCATGTGCACGTTCAGATGTCATAGCTCGCAAACACTGCCTTCAGCAGGATCATGCTTTTCTACCACTAGAGAGGCTAAGCAAAGACTTTGGAATTGCTTTGTTTAAAAAACAGAGATTATTAACACCCCATACACCACAGATTCTATAGGTTTCCTGACCCTCGATTAAGGAGCTATGGACACAAGCACATCAGTAATCCAGGGCATACCATCATTGTTCGTATCCATCTGTCTGAAGATTTTGTCTGTTCGTTTCTCTGGAGTAGATTCATCCTCTGGCATTTTCATGACTGAAGACACCATTTTGTAGATTGCCTATACAAGGACAACAGAATACAGGAAGTATTTTGAGGGATTGCAGATCAAACTTAAGAAAGTCTGAGAGGCAAATATTAATAAAGCTGATATTTAAAACTTATGAATTGTGAATGCTAAGTGCTCATTTTGCATTTTGTGTATGACTTGCATACAGTGAACTTCCTGGACACTGCATACAGGAACTTTTTTTACTACACATAACAAATACAGGCTATTATGATTTACTAGCAAAATGACTATTAGATTGACAGTGTATGCAAATTTTACACACACATTTTACATACTGCATTCATTTACATGTTATGGGGTGTTGAATTTTTCTGAGTTCTGTACTGACACACATTATTTCCCTTCCCACAAAAATGGGTGGGGGTAATGGGTGCACTTTTGGGGACATTATGGGCATTCAGCGCAAGAACACACAAATTCACACAAATATTTTTGGTTCAGTTGTTTGGAACAAGATAGCAGCAACTTGATCTGGAGTCTACACTGGTGCTGTGGCATATACATCAAGACAAGGTACACCCCTGTATGTTAAATAAATACCTAACGTTTAAAAGCCTTGGACTAGACCATTTTAAGTGCACCTTCTTCCAGTAGCAATTTACTGACCTGCACGATCTCAAGCATTTCAGCACGGCTGATGTAACCATTGCCATCAAGGTCATACATGCTAAATGCCCACTTCAGCTTCTGTTCGAGCTTCCCTCGAGAAGTGACACTTAATGCAATTATAAATTCCCGAAAGTCAATTGTCCCATCTCCATTAGTATCGAAAGTGCGGAACACATGCTCTGCAAATTTTGAGGCATCACCATATGGGAAGAAGTTAGCATATATCTTTTTGAATTCGTCCACAGTCAAGTGGCCAGTTGGGCAATCTTTTAGGAAGCCTTTGTACCACTCTTGAAGCTCATGATCTGTGAATTCGGTATTTTCTCGGAGATCCTGGAGAACTTCAGGTCTCAATTTACTGTTCTGTTTTCCCATTCTGTTCTTTAATCTCCAAGAGGCTGCCCAAAAGAAAAAAAAAGTCAACACCACAAATCAAGCCAGTCATAAACACACTGTGGACATCCAGAATTTAGGAATATTAAACATATAGACTGAATGTAAGAAATGATAGCTTATTTCAAGAGAATGGGGAAGGGACACGGTTGTTTGAGCAACTTGCTTGAGAAGAAATACCAACATGTCTTTTTTCACCTTGGTGCAAGTTGGCTGCTGCTGACAAGGCCATTGTAGGATATGAGAACAGAGAGTGCCAATGTGGGTCATTATAGTTTCCTTTCCTTTCTTTGTATAGAACATATAATGCAAACTGTGACTTGTATTCAGAGGTGGCTTTCTCCAAATGGATACAGTTCTGTTCTGGGAATAATTTTTAATCTAATGGAAACATCCAGTAATGAAGATGGAAAGCAGTTCCTCCAGCTGCAGCCCCTCCTGTGATATCTCAGATTAGCAGAAGTGTCAAATGCCCTCTAAGAACAGAATGAACAATTAGATGCAGAACCCTGCATGTTTTTGTGCAACAAGCTGCAAACGCCACAACAGTCATTCTCCTACGCTAGGCAGTTTGCTCTCTCCTCCATGCCCCTACTCATCCTAGTGATTACAGTCCCTACCACATACTAATCTTCCAGCTTCTCTTCTTACTGCACCCCTCGGTATATGCCAAAAGTAAAAATTCTGGGTCCAAATGGATTTTTCAAAATTCTAGTTATTGTTAACAGACACTCCTTTGTGGTATACTATTTCCAGGCATGCTTGCTGCAGGTGTATCAGCTCTGTCTCCAGATATATCAGCTCTTCTGCAGGTATATCAGCTCATGAGATCTGTCCTGATAACATACGAACACAATTTCCAAGGAATACCATCTTCAGGAATGCTGTTCTTAGGTGCATAAACACCAACTGACAATATAAAGTGCTACACAGGGATTTCCAGCATCAGGTGTACTTCCAGTTTTAATGTACATGCTTCCTCTGCCTCTCCCTGCCGCATTACGATATGGTACAATTTAGACTTTGAATGTGGCGCTTTCATTTCTCTCAGTCTCCCATTCTAGCACAACAGGCAGGGGAGAAAGAGGTGGAGGGGCTTGCGAGCAGGCTCAGCAGGACACTGGACGAGGCTGTGGGTGAGAGGGTGGGAGAGGGCCCAGCCTGCCTGTGCTAACGCCCTCTGTGCGCCCAGCTGCAGTAGGCAGGCAGCCCCTCCCAGCACACGCAGGTCCTGCACACGGGGAGCGTGACACTGCAGCAGGGAAGGCGCAGGGAAGAGGTGTGGGCTGTACATTGCACAGGACAGTTCCACTTCAGTAAGTAAGCGGCTGCTATGGCTGAGCAATGGGCAGAAGAAAGGGGGAAAGAGGAATGGGTGGCTTGGACACACGCAGGGGGGCACTAAACCCATGAGGGAGAGGCAGGCAAAGCAGGCAGGAGGGGATTCAATTGCAGCTGTGGGGATACCTGCCGTTAGAAGGGCCAATGAAGGATGGCGGAAACCATGAAAGCATGACATCAATGCAACTGTCCAAACCTCAAACCAGGTAAGACATCTTACAGCTTTACATTGCATGTGAATGCAACCAATGCCAGTTCCAGAGTTTTCAGGGTTCTTGGACAATATTCAGGAGCAGCATTCTGGCTCTTTTGGTGGTGGCGGTGGAAGAGGACTGATAGCTTTTCAAAAATGAAAATACATGAGCACCACATGATTTCACCTGCATCCTTCAGCAACACCCCTTCTGCCACATGGAAACACATTCCTGACCTTTTGTTCCCCAGGCTTCCCGCATTTACTAATGGGGTAGTTTTACATGCATTTAATGCATTTACAGTACATTTCCTGAACTGGGGCGTTGTAAAATGGCAAATGTGACAAAAGAAAAGAAGCCCCCGCCAGTCGCCCAGCTCAGTTCGTCTATGCACATCTGAGCCTGCACAGGAGGAAGAATTAAAGACATAGCTGGGGAGGCAAGAGTCCCTTGCATGTTATTTGTACTCCATTTACTCTCCACCCAGCCTTGGAAATATGAAATCCTCACCCTGCTCAGAGACAAAGGAAGGAAAAAAGCAACCAGCTGCTCATTAATAAAATACATCACGCTTAAACAGAAACCTGTGTTTATATCATTAGCTACTTCTGTGTTGGAGGATACCATAAACATCACAGTCTCCAAGCTTTATTCCTATTTGCTCTGATGGAGCCCTGATTGCTTCCAAAATGTTGTAATGTTTAAACTAGGCTCCCAGCTGGTAAAGCAGCTAGCCGTGTGAAGAGCACAGAGGCACTTGCATGCAGTGACAGCAAGCCAAATCCTTGCTCTTTATCTTCATTTCAAAATGCCTTTCAAAATGCCACTTTGCCTGTGCAAAGAGATGGGGAAGGAAGAAGGGAATCAGCCTCTTCCCATTCCCTCTTGATTTAGCAGCTTCACTGTGGAAACACAGCCAAGCTCTGCACTGCCACAGACTGGCACATAATCGGACTCTTATGTTATTGGTTCAGTTTTTAATGCACTAAAGAAACCTGCCATTTTCTTCTTTGTCTTTGCCTTAGAATAAGCTTCAAGGTCAGCAATCAGGTCAACCCCTGAAGGACACGCTGGCAAGTCAAGCACAGGAGGAGGTGCAAGTGAGGATGGAGGAGGAGGAGGTGAGTATGGTGGCTTTGGGAAGGCCATCAGGAGCATGGAAACAGTGGCAGCAGCAAAAAAGGAAGGGGCGTTAGGCAGCAAATAACCCTGCAAAGGGGATTCTCTTCTTGGAAAGTGAGAATCCAACAAGGGGAGGAACAAGAGGAGAGAGAATCCAACAAGGACTGGGAGGTAATACCCTCTTGTATTTGTTCCCATTTTAGTTTGAATTCTTAAAAACACATTTGTAAATGTTATTTACTGATAGTTCTAGTTTTGCATTTTTGTTTCAGCTACTTTTAGCTTGTTTTAAGGGTTTTTAATCCTGAATAAATGAACTGATTTGTCTTACATTATCTGTTTCTTCCTATAACCTCTTATCTGGCCAAGGCTGAATGAGGGCTAATAGCTGAGCTCTTTCTCATGGGTTATTCATTTGAATATAGTTAGACACTTGCCCAGGTTATCTTTTACTTTTGTTTTTGACCTATTATAATAGTTGCTTTATGTGAGGCAATCTTTGCAATTCCAAAAATGGAACAACTGCACCAAACATGAGAATTGTGTTCTGTAAATGTTCAATCTTTTTTGCACACCTAATTTATTCCATCATCATCTTTTGGCATGAGAAGAAATCAAGTCTCCTGGCAGGTAGCCTCAAATGCGCTAATGCACTTTGACACAAAAAAAAACCAAAACAAAAACCCAGTTCTTTCAAGGAAATGCTTGGCTGCTAGATTATTTTCATCAGTTCAGTAGACAAGTAGGGGCTGCTTGAATCTAAAATGACCGCCTCCCACTCTGGACACTGAATCAGTCAAACTATGCTAATGCCAAAAGAAAACTTCAAAAGAGGCTTGAAATTTCTACCTGAATTGGGACACTTTTAACAATAGTTTTGTATTCTGCCTAGTCTCATGGATGCTCCAACAAGTCATTTCAAGTACCACTTGTGTCCCTGCCTGCCCGTAGGAAGCCCAGCTAATTCAATATTGTGAATTGTAAGGGGGAGAGGCAGTGGCGGGGATGAACTTTCAAATGACTTTCAAATGAGTGGAGGTCTTGCTATGAATTGTTAACTGTTTAAAGAACAGGAAATGGAGAATGGATATAAACTGCCAGTTCTTCCAAGAGAAGGGCAGAAACAGTGCAATCTCCCAAGATCTTAATGAGAACCGGTGCTTCTTCTTAAAACAACTGGAGTTAGGGGTAGGCACCAAATTATTTAAGCTGATTAAAATAAAAAGGGATTGTGAAAAGACCAAAATGATTTCTCCACACTGGGCATGAAAATGACACGGCTCGGCACAGACAAGTGCAATGTGCTGCTCACTGGGGCAAGAACCATTAACTTCAATGTATATGCTGATCAAGTCTGAGCCAGCACTGAATGGGCAAGGAAAGTGTATCCGCTTGTGGTGGGCAGTACAATGGAAATGCTGCCCCAGTATACAGCTACTGTGAAAAATGCAAATTCCCCATTGGGGATACTTAGGAAAGGCTTTGAAAATAGAACTGCTAAAATCACAATGCTGATACAATGCATTATGATGAAAATTCATCTGAAATACTGCACATAGTCCTGATCATTGCACCTTAGACTATGTCTCACAGAGCTGGAAAAGGTCCAAACAGCATCCAAAGGATCAAAGGGGCCACAGCACAGCCCTATGAGAAAAGGTCATACCACGTGGATCTCTTTAGCTTAGAAAAACAGTAAGGGGAGGGGGAACGTGACAGAGAGATAAATGAATGGTGTGGAGAAAGTGGGTAGTCTCATAACGCTAGCATCTCGGGTCATCCCATGAAGCCAAATTATGAGGGAGTCAGGACAGAGAAAAAGATGTGCTTTTCCCACATACGGCACAGTTCAACTATGGAATTCACTACCTCATGATATAATCTATCTGGATGAATGGAGAAGGTGATCTGTGGTTACCACTCCTGATGGCTGTATGCTAGCTTCAGTGCCAGAAGCAGTATGTCTCTGTACATCAGTTGCCGGGGACCATAAGTGCCCGGGGGCTGTTGCACTAATGTCTTGCTTATAGGCTTCCAGTAGACGTTTGACTGCCCACAGAGAGGAAGTGGCCCTACTTCTGCCTTAGTCTGTTCCAGTAAAGACTCACTTAGTAGAAGGGACCATAAGAGTGGTGTAAATCTCTGCATTCTAAAGAACCAAAAACAACCTCTGGCCTATGTTTTGATGGCTAGATAATTTTTTAAATACATTTATTTATTTATTTATTTATTTAAACATTTTTATGCTGCCCCATTCGCCGAGGCCTCTTGAAATATTGGTTTCAGCTATTCCATTTTGATGAAGCAATTTGCTTAAAAATACCAGATTTCTCAATGTGTGAGGCTTC